GACAGAGAGAGAGAGCGACAGATTTTCTGTTATAACCTTCATGTTATGGAGGCACAGTGTGAGCTCTCAGGTCGCATCAGAGCATCGGGCCGTATAGTGTGAGAGTACATCGTGACCTACGAACTTCTAACCCCTGCGAGTCAATCGTGCAGTTTGAGCAGGAGCTGAATAACGTGACAGAAAAAATCGCACAGTGTTTGCCCAGCTTTAGGTGTACTGTCGTCCGAGACTTGCACCGCCGTGTCGGCGTTTGTTTCCCTGTTGGCCATGCTTCTTGTTGTGGTCATCTGTTGTCTTCCGGTATTTTCTCCGTAAGCGACCTTTCCTCGACCAATGAGATGAGCGGTAATCTGAATTGTCATAAGTGTGCTGTCAGCTCATTGGTCACAAAGCAGGAGAGGGGCTGGGAATTATGTTTTCAAACAAAGCGTTAATTCCATTAAAAGTTATAGACTACTTTTGATTCTCACTGTATTACAGGACAAAGTGCGTCCCTTATTAGCTCAATACGGGACGTGTACTTTTGTTTCGAAATACGGGACGATTCCGTATTTTAAGGGACGGTTGGCAACCCTACTCACAAGCGGAGAATGTTTGCTAGCGCTGTCTGTAGAAAACGCCGTTTTTACCGTTGTAAACACCACTGTTTTGTTCAGAAAAAAACATTGCGTGTATTTTTTATCATAACTCTGGTTTTACATTGCCCATCGACACAATTCAAAAACTGGTATATAGTTTGAAGTCCGCACTTTCGACCCAGCTTGAAATGGAGACTCTGTGTCGCTGCATCTTGTAGCTGTGTCGTCTTAAATTGGTCATGTGATTTTGTCGCGCCGGCGCGTCCGTCGACCCCAGAGGGTTAAGACACTTCAAAAGTGGTTTCACTATTCAGACATGAAAGCCAAGTCCATCCTTTATATACAGACTATTCCATACATAGAAATCTATGCAACGTCCGTGTCCATGCAGTTCAAAAATAAGTATTTTTTCCTCATTTTGAGCCTCTATTGCATATTTTTTATTACAATTTATATTAGTTATTTTATTTTTTTCAGTTGTTTGCATGTCATAAACACTGCTGAGGGAGAGTTTGCATGTTTGCTCTCAGACAGTTTCTACCACAAACCTGAGAAAAGTGATGGAAGAGTAGCAGGAACTGATGAGGACATTGTTCTTTTCACAACAAAAGCAAAATTAAAGGTCTCACAAAGCTCAATCACCGTCATCTGCTTTCTTGTTATCGTGCCTTTTGTCTTTTTTTTCTTTTTGTCTTTGAGGACATTCTCTTTACTGAGTTGTCATGTTATTTCTCCATAAGCATGCAGGCAGCTGCATGAAGAAGCAATGATTCTGGCATGTTTGCAAACTCTTTTTGCTATATTCCAAAGATGTGCAAGAACTTTGCTGTATTTCTTGTAGCCCGAAGAGAGGAGTGCAGCTAGTGTACAAGTAGCCTTTCCTGTTTATTTTTAGTATCCAGTGTGATATGTACAAGCTTGTGGTGACCCTTGAGTTCACACATCTGGAGAGGATGGCAGAGCAGCTGGCGAGACTCTGTTCAGTGTCAGTGGTTATTGACAGACAGCGAGACAGGATCGAAGAGACACCCATTTTTTAGCCCAGCTGCAGGCAGATTTTAATCTTTCCCAGAATTATATCTTGTAAATTTTTGTGCTGATTATACACTGCTGTTTTTTCGCTGTTCGTGAAATATGTCACTTTTGTTGTTGTCAACTCGCACCATCTCATGCCACCCTTCTCAATGACAGCTGCTCTCCACATGCAGTCAGGTTACTTCAAGGCTGATCGAGCAATATAATCCTCATTTTCTTTTTAGGCCTGTGATGCATTCTCTTTGTTTTAAGGCAAAAAGTGCCAGATCACGCAAATTTTATTGAACTTCTTACCCACATGACTGTAAAGCCGAACTTGACATTGATGAGGCCATGACATTTCCTTCTTCTGCACCAGGAGGCTGACATTTTTGGTTTTTAATGGCGTGTCTCCATTGCTGTTATATGGATGGACATGTGGCACAGCCCACGCTGTTTACTTACCTAGTGACACGTCTTAATTGCCACCGGTGTCTGGCCTGTGTGGTGCTAAACTCAGAGGGTTTACACAGAAAGCGTTTTTACCGGATAACTATCGGGTTGTTACTGAAAGCTTGAAAACATTCTGCAAGAAAAAATAGAACCGGATTTTGGACACAACGATAGCACCCACCCTCCTGGTGCCAAAGCCAAGAAAGCTTTCTATCGTCCAGGCTTTCTTTCACATTGTGCAGCACACTGCAAATGAAACAAGAAAAAAAAAAAGAGCGAAAAGCAACCTTGTTTACGGTCGGTGGTGCCCTGTGAATAGTTTATAATGGTGCTTTCTGAGGAAAAATGCTTTTTGAGCTGAAAGGAAATGAAAAGTAACACATTGTTAGAAAGCGTACTTCTTCTGTACTTGTATAGATACTGCAAAAGTAAGATAACAGCCCGTATTATGGTCTTTTTCTCTTTTGAGAACCCTTATTGTGTGCAACTTTTCGGTGAAGTGTAGATTTTTAAAACTACTTTGTTAAACCCAAATAATACAAATACCTAAGATTTTTTTTGTGTGCCACTCGCACAACACGTCAGTGTGGGCACATTGGTGTGGGAGGAAGTGCACAGGAGAATAAAAGGCAATTTAGCTCAACATTTAAATTTGGTTGTCCCCCAGTGAGATAAGTGAGGATGTTCAAGATAACAACACCAAGGGCTCATTAATGTCACTTCAAACATTTCAGAGGAGGCACTTTTCTCCAAGCCTAGCATTGTCCTGTCTCACGGAGACTTAAAGACACATGCAAGGATACACACACACACACACACACACACACACACAAACACACACACACACACACACACACACACACACACACACACACACACACACACACAAATGATCCCAGAAACATGCACACGCACGCTGCAGCAGCCTGATATGCCTCACCAACTGGCCCCTGCAAATGTCACGTTGAAGCCATGTCAGTTTACTGATAGGGAGTCGGGCTGAGTAAATGAATCAAACGTTTCCTACAGTTACGTTTGCATAGGCTAAAGATTACCTAAATTAAAACAAGTCTGTAGCAGAAACGTAATCTTTAAAATCCTTCTACTTCTTAGCGATTAAACAGCCACAGTAAAAAAAATAATAAAAGACTCTCAAAATATCCCCACAGCCTAGTCCAAGAGGCGAGGCTCGCGTCAACAAAAAGCAGCTTAAAGCACTTCTCAGCGCAGTGCTTATCTTTCAAACCTCGGACCTGCTGAAAGTTCGGCAGAGCGTGAGATGAAATTTGAGTCTAAGATTTAAACTGTGTGTATAGTCCAGATTTACAGAATTACAACACCGGCTCCCCGAGTGTCCTTGTTCTATTCTTCTCTTACATGTCGGTGTCTTGTTCAGGTAAAACCACCATTAAAAACCCCTTGAAGAGCACATCTGTGGTTCTTGGAAAATCGCAGAAGCTGGAAAGAAGATCATTCATTTGTAAGATGAGGATGCTGTAGAGACGCTGCGGAGGTTTCCAGATGATTCTGGTTGCCAGCGAGAGACTGTGACCTCAATAAATGGCTTAAAAGAGCATGGGAGTCTAGCCAAACAAGACATTCATTTATATCCATTCAGTATGACGCAACACTTTGTTCTATTTGCCAACATGATACCTTCACTTAGGTTCTGGGAACAAAAGAGTGAGCAGAAACAAACCGCCTGCCAGCGTTCTCAGGTGCATTTCCCCCCCTTTTGCTCTCTTTGCTCATGTTGAAGCAACAAATGCTGCTGAACCTTCAGTTCAATGCCATTTTTGTGCTCTCTTAAGCGTTTCTATGTAAAATGGTTTCTGTGAGTTTGTTCTTTTCCCCCGAGGATGTCAGGAAAGTACAGATGTTGCAGCGCTCAGTTCTGATGGTTTTAGCAGTGAAAGCTGTTTCTCGCAGACCGGGGGCGTTTGTCTTTGACATTGTGACATGAAGTCTCTAATTTGACTGCGTGCTCATGCACCCTGCAAGAAGAAAACAGCCTGAGCTAGTGCTCAACTGCCCCATGGCTTGGGTGACCTCTGCTTATGTATGGACCTTCAGTCCTAATTGTGTCTGGAGGAATTTTCTCGTCTTAAGACACGCTTAAGTTAAGCCCAGAGAGCTTCCTGGCTTAGGAAAACACAACTCAGTGTGGCAATCATTTTAATCAAAGCCATGCTATCATACCAATCAGAGAGGATATTCTGGAGGCAAAGAAGCCTATCACAGCCTTACCGTATCATCACAGTGGGTGATAGTCCCAGGTAGAACCTTTTGGTTTAGGCTAAATGGTGCTGCCTGGGTAGGAACCGAGAAACACGGCACCCACTGGCTCGCTAGGCATTCATTAGCTCCTCCTAAGTAAAGCTCCTTCAAGCAACCATAAACTTAAATTCGAAACTTCTTAACCTAGAGGCAGTTTTGTTGCCCGTGTCAAAGGCGACTTTTGTAATATCAAAGTGGCTCTTCAGAAAAGAAAGCAAAAAGAAAACAGGGTATTGGTTTTTACAGTTTGGGCCTCGAAGCTATTTTCTTGTCCGTGACACTTGTGTCACAGCAGAGGCTAATTTGCCCTGGATTACTTCGCGACGCTGATCTAAGCTTTGTCATGATACGTTCTAACACCCGTCACCCTGTCTGTTTTTTCTTTCCCGCCATATCTCAGCGTCTCCACACCCATTAGAGGAAGAAACGCATCCCTTCTTTGATTGTGAAACACAATCATCTCCTGCTTCATTTGGCATTTAACACAGCTGTGATTCCCCCTACTTTCCCCCACAGTGATCGTCTCTGCATTGATTGCCTCTCGCTGCGCTTGCGTGGCTCTCTTGTGTCTAACATTTGGAAGAATAAAGGCTGGTTTCGCCGAAAAGGAAGAGATCAGAACGGCTTATCAAAAAGTAGATGAGCTGATTGATATTAACCACATAATATGTGAGGAAATGCAAAAGAAATTGAACTTTTAATGAAAAACCATGGACATTAAAATGAAAAGCAACAGCGGTAAATGCTTCCTACATGTAGCTATTTAAAATTTGTTTAAAATCGCTATTTTTTAACATTTTAGCAGTCGTTGCATGCATGAATTAATGAAATAAAGCTTTACGAGCAAGCACTTTAACCGCTACGTGGTAAAATTGTACAACTATCTATTAACAGTTTAGCTGTTTTTAAGGACACACAATAGGAAATACAGTGTGTGCAGTGCTGAAACTACTCTTCCTGTGTTCAGACATTAAGATTCAATATCAAATTTATATTTTATACACTAACATTAAATATGATGAGCTGATATGATATGCGACACGATACATTTTGTGACACTGGCGGCCTTTCAAGCACCAAAATCTCATTGTGGCATCCAGTTTATGACAAATTATCATTTCTTGTGACAACATATGATTCGTCAGTCACTGATGCACAACACTGTATAATACAAAGAGCATGAGAAAGAAAAAAAATCGCAACATAAATCCAAACAGCATATTTACAAACACTGTAGTCACCACGACTGTGGGATTTTCAGACTTAAATTTTAAATGACAGCTCAAAAATGATGGCAAAGCTTCTGCACTGTCAGAGTTGTTACCGTATCTCAATATGACACATGGCAGTGACTGACACCGTTACGTTGCTCGTGTCCATCAGAATAGAAGCATAGGCACCCTGTATACAATGGCATGTGGGCATGACAGTTAACCGACAGCCACAAATCCACAGCTATTATTACCGTATTAATGCTGATCTTAAATATCTAGCTGTGGATCAGTGGCTGTGGGTAACATTAACCTTACTCCACATCAGAAAGTGATCGTCTGCTGGCTGTGACCTTTCACCCCTCGTCCCGTCCAGTCTTCAGTCGGCATAGAGAATAAACCCTGAGAAGGTGCTGTACTTGTTGCTGTTGCCCCCATGAGCCTTTCCCCCATCCAGCTTTATGAAAACTTCATCACCTGCATCCAGATGAAGTATGACACTGTTGCCGGCATAGTCATAACTCTGGTCCTGGTCCTGGGCAATGGCGCTGGCCCTGACCTGGAATATGACACACACACGCACAGAACCGAGGAAAGAGGAAGTGAAGAAATATAAATGCTTAAGAATGTTTTAGTAATTTTAATTGAATGTCATAAGTTCTAACTAATAAAATCCCTTAAGATGACATGACTAAAGTTGATGAAGGTATTGAAAAAAATGCTTTTATTTTTTAAATATCAAATGACTTCCTGTTTTATAGCCTGGCATGTTACAGCTCTGATTATGTTTATATTTATATGTGGACTTTTTTTTAATAGAAGAGGGGTTTTTTGAGACTGACTTGTGTAAGCTTTATCCCTGTGGTGAATATCTTGTTCTTCTCTTATGACTCAGCTGAGAGGGTCAGGGTTGAGTCAGCCTGCCTCTGAGGAAGGATGGCAGTGCGTACTATCCCTTTGTCTCGAGTTCTTCTCTTGCATCCACCTTTTTCTGAGTGGTGCACTGAAAATGTCATGTTTTCCCGAACATAAGTGTCACTGGGTGAAGAGAGGTAATTACTGCGATATAGAGCAACACACCCAAATCTCGTTGCATGTCTGTGGTTTTAAAAAAAAAAATAGAAACTGCTTGTACACTTAGCCCCTCAAGGACAGATCCCTCCTAAGCTTTAGCTAATGTGTAATGAGCTGGGTTGCCAGATTGGCTGTTACGCTCCAACTTCACCAGACGAGCTAAACAAGTGTAATTCTTGCTTCAACCAGATTGTGGTAGAAAGTTTTAAATTCAGTTAAAGCCATAAGAACATGAAACTGGTGATATTGTATTTTTGAAGTATTTTTACAGTAATAGTCGTTCACAGTGGACATAAATGCCTTCTGTCACTTAGCTTTAAAAAAAGGTGCTTTAGATACATCTAAAGGACAACGGTCACTCTTTTGAGGATGCCAATGTTCACATTTTGGAAAGAGAAGACAGATAGTTTGAAAGAGGAGTCAAAGAAAGTATGTCCACTGTGAATGACCATCTTTCAACAGATCTGTCTGCCATCTATAATCCAGTTTTGAGATCCCTTTCAAAACACCTTAACACCCACTCCTATCCTGGGGCTTTTGACTTCAGTAAATCACATGATAAGGTGGGGCTAGGTTTCAAAATGGGCTCACCCGAAACCTTGGCTGATTGTGACCCACACCTTGGCTTGTGTGATTAGGTAGAGTAGGGGTCTCCAACTCCAGGCTTCTTCTTGCAGGTTTTAAGAATCACCCTGGGTCAACACACTTCATTACCAGCCTCTGGAGAACTACAAGACATGTTCAGGAGGTAATTTAGCCATTTGAATCAGCTGTGTTGGATCAAGGACACATCTAAAACCTGCAGGACACCGGCCCTCGAGGCCTGGAGTTGGAGACCCCTGAGGTAGAGGATAAATAGGGGGTCCATGACCCTCTTGGGGACACTCCCATAGGGCTTAAAATCAGGGACTCTCCACCAATTGTTCTTAGAATTGAAGAAGCTTCTCTGATGAGAAGTGAAACATCTTCAAGAAAATTTAAAGCAGTCCAGACGCTTTTCTTTCCAAGCTCCTTAAACTACGATGACCTGGACGACTGAGAACCTTCCCAGACTGATAAACATGCCCCTGCTCCAACTTTTTAAAAACCTGTTTCTGATATCAAAGGTCAAACAAGGATAAATGTTTTTATGCTTTTTTTGGAACCAGAGTTGTATGTCTTGTGGCTGTGGGACTCTGAAAAATGTTGAGCGACAGCATGACAGCATGATGATGGATTTCTGATACATGTGAGCAATGCAGCATAAATTCTCTTGGCTTCCACCCTCTGCTACACTGTAGCAGCAGCACGGTGTCTACAACTGACTGGCATTTTATTTTACAGCAGCTTATTACCATATCTCATGTTAAATATAATGGATAAAAGAAAGTGCCTCCTTTTTGCCTAATAAGTAGCAGGTAGTACTAAATAATTCGTTAATTGTTAATTTCTGTCATTGACTTTTTGTTTTTAATTCCACAGTGATATACCAAATGTCCTATTGAGCCCCAGCTCAATGAGCAATCATATTTTAGTGTCGTTGATGGCAGGAATAGCTTCTCTGTCTTCAAACTGGTTCACATAGGTTGTTTTACAGCTGCTTTAATCAAATCCATGTTTATATGATTACTGTTGTTCTCTTGAAACAGAGTACACCACATACAGACTTTGACTGGCTGTGTGGTGAGCGTGGTGCAGCCATAAGCATAGACATTTATAGAATTCATGTACATAAGCAGGTTAGGGTTTATCTGAGTATATAAAATGTGTTAAATGTTAAATTTCTGTCTCTTTTCCAATCACCACTAAAGAAAGCAGATATGAAGGAGTAGAAGCCCTTCACTGCAGTATTTGTGAAACTTAAAATATCTGTTTGCATCTGTTTGCACTGAAACTGTGGTTACAGTATGTTCATCAGGTGTGGTTTTGTTGTCTCGGGTTCTTTTTTCCTTGTGAAAAAAACACCTTTTCTGGTTATAATACAAACCATTATAGCCACAAAAGGTTTTTATTGTGGTGTAGTTTGTATTCATCTGAAAGTGCATTTGATGTCCTGCATCAAAAGTATGGAAACAAATCTGAATCTACACTTCTTTTAAAGAATCGATACTAAAATTGATGTTGTGGTGAAGTATGTTGTGATGTAGATGTACTTGTGTTATTGCATCCACCTTAAGTGCAGCCTGCTGCAGTCTGGATGTGGTGTTGGCAGTAAAGTTTTAAGGTTCAGATGTGCAAGGTGTCATCACCCAGGGGCCTTAAAGACATTACAAAATTAGCCATGAATATAGCAAATATCATCACTGGATACTGAAACGCATTCGCCTGACGGGCTGTCTGATAACGTTTACCAGCACATCATTGCATCCATGAAGTTTGTTGTATTTCAAAGGGCACCAGCTTTGAACTAGCCACTACCCCGGGCTGTGTTTTGAAGTGTGCAGAGTGGAGATAGTGCTGTCCTCCTTCCACTCACTTCAGCTTGTACATCATTGGATGTGTAATAATCACAGATACACAATCTGGCAACATGCCACTATGTGTTGTCATTATACTGGACTGTAACACCAGACTAAATCAGAGCTAAATCACTATACACATGAATGCTCGACTACTCAATTTAGTCTGCCAGCATACTGGTAACACTCTTCCTTGAGTATTTTGATGTGCGTTCATCCCAGTAATAATACTTTTCTTTTACAAATTTTACCTTTACACATTTTTAAATTATTAGTTGGGGCTTTAAACACAAGGTGATAAATTCAAAGGCATACCCACCAGGCCATTTTTGATCAGGTCAGCCCACATGCTAGTGCCGTCTCCTCCCCTCATCAGCACATTGTAGATGAAAAAGTAGGTGCCAGGGATCTTACAGGTGAATTTGCCCGTCGCGCCTTCATAGTTACCACCAATGTTAGTCACCACGTCGTCAAAGCGCAGTATATCATAACCTTCTTGAGGGTTTCGTAGTCCTGCATAAAATGCCACCCGAGGAGTGGTATTGTATGTAGTTGTACTAACTGCCCCTTTACCCCCTAAACCTAGGATCCCTGTCCGTACAATGTCCACAGCATCTCCGGGTGGTCCTTTAGGTCCTGGTGGTCCTGGCTCTCCGGGTGGACCCGGGGGTCCGGGCTTGCCGGGACGTCCTGGTTTCCCTTGTGGGCCGTGAGCACTGTACGTGGGCAGCGGTGGACCGATGCTGTGATCACTCAGATCGTCCTCGTTTTCCACCTGTAAGACTGTAGGTGCTGTATCTGTGCCTGTGTGCACACCTTGGCCCGTGGTGCCCGTGCTGGGAAATGGGTCACAAACCATGCGGCAGGTGCCCAGCATCTCGTAGTGGCTCGTGCTGTCATCTATACCACCTGTGCCAACAGAGCTGACCAACACAGGGATGAGGACGACCAGAACCAGGACCAGCATGACCCCCACAGCAGCTGCCACCAGGGTCTTCCGCCCGATGCTCAGCCTGGGAAGGGGCTGCGCTGCCAGCGTGGAACTCTCCGGGGTGGAAATGGTGACTGCGGGGAGTGCGTCCACCTGGCAAAACGCAGATGCAATGAGGATCCCCGATAGTGGAGATGGTGCCCAGGGAGAGCCGGAATAAGTGTGTGACAGAGCTGTGTAGGAGTAAGGGAGAGGGAGAGGAGCAAGGGACCAAAGTGTTCAAGTGAAGAGAGAGACTGAGAGAGTGAGGAGAGAGAGTAAGAGGAGAGGCGGAGGGAGAGAGTGAGACAGCTTGAGAGGGGAAAAAAAGAGAAGAGAGGGGTGGAGAGAGTGAGCCACCATTTGAGTCGGGGCTGGGGAGGGCACTTTCCAACTGGCAGATGTGTAAAGCCAGAGAAGACAGGAAAAAGCTGTGGGATGTATACAGAACAAGAACATATCATCATAAAGAGAAATACATTTTGCTTGAAAAATTAAAATAAGATATTTATGAGTTACCGCTGACATTTCTATCCACCAGGTGTGAAAGTGATATCAAATTATTGGCACAGAGTTTGTGCACAGGTGTTTTTTCTCATTTTAAATCCAGTGCAATCAGTTGGAGCTCTTCCATAATGGACTAATTCCAGGTACCTGTATTCAGTCGACCTTCAGACTAATTTTAAAACATAAGGTTCAGAATCTTGTAAGTAAATAAATTTGTTCTGTTTTAAGATTAGCCTTAAAATTTCTATTAGCTGTAGTGAGTTTTGACTCTTAAATGTAATTACTGAAGCCTAGAGCTTTGGCAGCATCGCTTCAACAGACATAAGTAGAGAAAAATGACATATGTACTTTGACAGCAAAATCATTGCATTGAAGTCTGCATCAGCTCTGACATTAAAAGGAGATCATCCTTTCCCCCCTACTGTGTATGTCTTTGTGATTTGAGCAGCACTCTCCTGATTCTTCTAATAATCCACAGGTCTTTCCCACCAGCTTTGTTTTTCACCTCCTCTGAGGCAATCCAGAGGTGTTCCCTGAGTAGAGATGTAGCTATGCAGGGATGCAATTTCTGAATACTATATCATACTCTGTAATGTTCTTCTAGTTGAATGGACCCTAAAAAACTCCAAAGACTCTTCAGTCCATCAATGCTGGCTGCTTTAATGCAAAGTAGCAGCTCTGCTCTAATCTCCCTCCAGATGTCTCATTCCTTCTCTAAAGCTGAGCACAGTCACCCTACAGGAAAACAGATTTTGGCCATTTCAGGCACAAATGAAAGTGATCTGAATTGTATGTATGGCCACATATACTGTGTGGGGATTTTTGGATCAGTATGTTAGACAGTGCTCTCCAACAGCTTGACAAACGAGGGAAGAATTAGGAAGAATCTGATGTTCATCCCTCCAGTATGGTTCAGTGTCACGGAGAATCAGTGCCAAGCCACATTAAACTAGCTCGGGTGGCACATGATGGCCTAACTCAGACACTTGTTTGGTTATTTGATGCTGTTTTCTTTGTGCATTCTTTGTGTTTTCACCAATTTAAAAATTTTTTTCCAGTTTGCCATTTGATTCACTTTTATTTTAGCTGAGATTTAAATGACTGAGACACCATCACTCTGAGCCCACACAATAACGTAAGTTTATCATCCCGCAAAATTACATTTTACATACTTTAACTTGAGTTTGTAGCATTAATTTACATGAGAACTCGATGTTTTATGGTAAATTAAAAGTATTTCCACGTGAAAGAACAATTAAATTACCAAATGTTATGGTCAAGCATTACTGTAATATAAATAATCAGGCTTAAAAACATCAAAAAATTGCTTTTATTGGTAATATTTTTTCTTTTTTAAACCTTAAGAAAAATTCTGTACAGAATATGCATTTCTAGCTTTACTTTTCTCTACTTTTACCCGTTTTTGTCAATAATTTAAAAAAGATACAGAACTACTAAAAATAAAATCTGTGAAATTACAGTAATGAACAGTAATTATAGCTGTTTTCAATAATTCAATAATTAAAACTGTATTTTGACCAAAACGTAATAGTTTTTATCTAAATAAACACTGCATAGGGTGTTAAATTTGCAACTTTGTTTTTATAGTCTTTTATGTGGAATCTTAAATAAAAAGGTAATTTACATTTTATTAGGGCCCGAGCACTGAGAGTGCGAAGGCCCTATTGTATCTGATCCGTTTCTTCTTCTTCTTATTATTATTATTATCATTATTATTATTATTATTATTCAGGCAAAACAAGGGCCTTTTTGAGGGCCTAAACATGCGTCAAAAACTCATGAAATTTGCACACATGCCAGGTCTGGTGAAAAATTTTGTATTTTAATGGTTTTACATATGAGCACTGGGAAATGGCTCTAGAGCGCCACCTATGCCTTGTTAAATGCAGCCCTACGACCACATCGTTTGAGCTACATGTATGAAATCTGGCACACATGTGTATCTTGCCGAGTCGAACAAAAGAGTCTGTGGGCCCATTGACGCAAACCCAACAGGAAGTCCGCAATTTAGAAGTGAAGGTGACATTTTGGCTCTAATTTTGCCATTTTCATGCCTCGAACTTTTTCGAACTCCTCGTTGAGATTTGGTTGTATAAGCTTCATCTTTGGTCAGTGTCAACTACACACCTGGGCCATGTTAAATTGCGGAGCTTTTGAGTTTTCGTGATACGGTGAGGCCGTGGCGCCACAGCGAATTTCGATGACTCGCCATGAAGATCTTATTGCCTCTCATTCAGTCATACATTGTCCGATCTGGACCAAAGAACACACATATGATAAGGCTCCACCCCTGAACATATTTCAACTGCCATATTTGACATAAGGGCCAGCGCCACCTAGTGGGAACAGGAAATGTCATGTTTTACACTTTGGGGTGCAGTATTGTGATGGGTGACATCTGCAGCCTCAAATTTCTCCAGGAAAGCCTTAAGGAGTTGGTCTTGCGTTACAGTGAAAACTGTGAGTTTTCACGAAAGGGTGTGACCCCGAAAGCATGGCGAACTTTCATGTCTCGCCATGAAGACACAAATTAGTATAACTCAATGAAATCCAGTCTGATCAGTACCAGACTTTACAGGCATGATGTCAGACCTGCCCTGCACAGATTGATGTGCCCATTGTCAGGAATACACAGAACGCCACCTAGTGGCAACAGGAAATATCATGTCTTTCACTTTGTTGTACTGATTTTCACAGGTTCATCGTGGCCACCTCAAAAGCGGTGAATATCACCATCAGTCCCTCATGATGCTTCAGTGCAAAAATTGTGACTTTAAACTGAACTTTAAATCTGGTGGCAACGCGGTTCACCATGAAAAATGAAGTGGCTTTTGAGGGGCTTGGAAAGTTTATAAAGTCTTGAAATTTGGCCCACACCTCCAATGTGATGAAGGCTTTGTTGTTATGTGATCATTTTCATTGAATAGCGCAAAATGGCTCCACAGCGCCCCCTACAATATTTCAAATCATCAGCCCCTGCTCTGTGTTTTATGTATGAGTCTGAAACCTGGTAAGCTTATAGAAGATGTCAAGATGTACAACAAAGTCTCTTGGAGCAATATCCCAAATCCAACAGGAAGTCAGCCATTTTAAGATTAATGTGTAATTTTGGTGACATTTTCCCCTCTTTTCAAGCCTCATTCTTTGACGAACTCCTCCAAGGGATTTCCTCAGATTGACGCATTCTCCAGTGTGTGCAATCTAAAGACCTTTGTGATGTTAAATTGCGAAGCTTTTTACGTTCAGGGAAACGGGGTGGTCATGGCGGCACGTGGAGTTTCAATCACTCGCCAAAAAGCAGTAATCTGCTGTCACTCAAAAACACAATGTCCAATCTCGCCCAAAGGTCGCAGGGATGATGAGACTCAAGCTCGGAAATGTTAGTTATGCCATTTGTCAGTAATGGTTACAGCGCCACCTAGTGGGAGGACTATAATCACGATTGAATGAGATGAAATGTTAGTTGGTGGTTAAATTCATGAATTCCATCAATGTGACATCAGATTGAACGTATTGGTTTTAGGTGTTGGGCGTGGCTCGACGCGATGGGGTGCGAGGGCCCTCATAACGCTGCTTGCAGCTTTAATTTCATGTTATTTTACCTCACATGTGTTATATGTAACAATATAATATATGTTACATATATTTATGTTTGCAATTTTTTTTTCATTTGTTTATAAATAATTTTGTAAAATTTAACAGAAAAAATGTTACTGTCACTGTTACTACTGTTACTAATTTTTAACATAGTTTGCAACATATTATCTTTACATGATGAGAAACTCCAAACTGTTTTAGTCACAACATGTCACTATATTATAATTCTATATATCATGAAGGTTTATGTTTCTTTCAGTTTGTGGATAACTCTGTTTACATCCTTTGAATTAAACACTAAATACTGTTTTGGGAAACCATCCTGCAGCAGATGTAGGTGTTTCCATTTATTTGTTCAGGCCAAATGTCACATACCCAGAGAACTGCCCTGAAATCACATTCTGATGGGTTCATGTCTTTAGTGACTGTATATTTGCTGTCTCAATGCAGCTGGGTCAAATGTCTTTTTCACTGTCTCTTCCTTCTTACATGGGGCTGCAAGCTCATCCCTGAATATATCTGTGTGTGCAGTCACACTGTAAGTGTAGCTACTACTGGCTAATACTGGAATATATAAAAAGAATATAAGTAATCCATTATTATGCGTATATTTAAAAAAAGACACTTCAAATATTCAAATATTGGCCCACAATAGCCTAAAACACTAAAACAGTAGCTCAGCTATTCTAATTACATGGAAACAATATGGTTTCAGTTCACTGTCTCTTTGTACTGTGAGGTGATATTACCTGAACTCCCCAGTCTGCTAAAGAATGTATGTATGGCTCATTTGCTTTAAAGTTCAAGTCCTCCATACCACATAAACCTGCTGTGTTCATATGGTAGCTTACATAATAGCCAGTCATAAGCCTTGGTGCTCGGTGTTTAAGCTGTTAAGCTGTTTGCTGTGCTGTGCATGGTGTATCCTTTGTAAATGTGTTGCATTTAAGTATTAGAAATGCAGTGCTTAAAAACCCAGAATGTTTATTTTAAAATCTAGTCAAGCTTCTACATTTCCAAATGTTCTAAATTATGACATGTGACAAAAGATCTAGCAATAGATGTAGCAGTGGCATGAAGAACAGCATCCAGAATGCTCCACGTATCTTAATAACCCACAAACACGATGCATGTGTTTTTTAGATA